TTTTATGGAGAACGTAAACAAGCAACGACAAAATTTTATTTCTGTTTCTGAGCTTAAATATGGTCTCTTGAAATTCAGCTTTAGGAGGGTTCGCCTACAATTGACAAAGGAAGTGGCTAAGAATAATCGCTATAAAGACTGAAAGAACGCAAATTCACTTTTTAAGCGACGTTCTTGTTGCCGTCGCGTCGTCGGATCTTAAAGTCCCTAATAACAATAATAATACGCGCTATTTGCTGTGCTCTAATGAAGGTGTTTTATTAAAGCATCCGTCAGGGAAAATGAAAAAGTCATTTGGTGACAGATCCTTCAGTGTGGCTGTGCCCACTTTATGGAATGCTCTTCCTGTTAGCCTCCGCAGCATCAAATTCATTTCTACTTTTAAGTCTAATCTTAAAACTTACCTTTTTAAATTAGTTTTTAATATCTCTTAGATCTGATTACATATATTTGTATATTTCTAATATTTGTATAGTTTTTAGGTTATTTATTGTTGTAATGCGCTTTTGATCACCTATTATGTTAAAAAGCGCACTATAAATTAATAAATTATTATTAATTAATAGACTATTATTATTTACAACACACGTGCCTCAAACTCTGAACATTTTTATACTAGAGAATCTCGACTCAATGTCAAAAGAAATGCTTTTTCGCGTGTTGGGGTCAAAATTTGGAATACGTCAAATTCTTAAAGAAAGACCGAAAAAAGCTTTTAAAAGATCACTAAAAGAAATGCTACTCGATTTCCTTGAAACTGAAGACTACTATATTGATGTGGATACGATCATCGTGAAAATGAAAAAGTAATTCCCTTGTCCTTTATTTTCCTTTTATTTTATTTCTAAAATTTCACTTTAATTATTGTCCTTGCATTAAAGTATATAACTTATATAACGCCTAATTTCTTTGTATTTGTCTAGTTTGTTGTAAATTATGTAGCCTGGCTTGCCTCGAATAGCCTCGCTAACTGCAGGCCAGTCCCAATGTATCTTTTGNTAAAAGGGGGAGGGTCATGCAAATATATGCCCGTGATCATGTAGAGGTTCACCCACAGAAGAAAAAGAAAGTTCTTTAATGGTAAAAAAAAAGAGCAACGGAATATTATGGATATAAACTGTGAAGTATTTAACAAACATCTACTTTTCATTTATAACAATGCTATACAGTCTTATTGCAATAATGAATAATGTTGTTGTTAATGTTATTATAGTTTTGGCTATCCTTTTCATTCCTGTCTTCAGCATCACTATCAGTGCTGCTGTGAGCATCTTGATCATCATCATTTACATCATCAGCATTTTATTTTGTTTATTGTATCTTATTTTATTAGCTTCGCTTTGATAAAATCACTTTCATCATCATCATGATTTTCATTTCAGTTGAAGCGTAGATATTGCTTGATAATGTCCTGTGATTCATTGGTGAACAACCCTTCTCAAAGGCGTATTGGGTATATGGTCTTTGTGTTTTGAGGAGCCCACTTATTCCTTCATAATGAAGAAATAACGTGCCAATAGACTCTGTTACATCATGCGATTCTTGCTGAGGTGTAATATGGTTTCAGTAGCTCTTTTGCAGTTAACTTCCATTCTTTTGCCCTGGCTTTTTTTTGCTTTCCTTTTATTTTGTTTTTGTTTCCTTTTTTTCTTGTTGGCTTGGAATACTGCACCTTAAAGAGCCTGGAACATTTTTCTTTCAATTGTGTAAGGTGGGGAGGGTCATGATATTTTAGACCAAGCTCAAGGGGAGGGTTAGCAAATTTCACTCGCATTGCAGGGGTGGGTCACCTAATTTCCGAACCCAAATTTAGAATTCCCACCCCCCCTCTCCCCTGCTAATTTCTGACAAGTCCCTAACTGCAGGCCAGTCCCAATGTATCTTTTGCTATATTTTCAAATTTAAATAAAGTTGAACTTGAAGTTGAAGTTATTTCAGAGGCAGTTCATTAATACTTAAAGAATGAGATGTTTCTATGCTTTCAAACAGAACTTGGCATCGCCCTCAATTAAGGGAAAAAAATCAAGTTATCGTTGTGCCAAAACAGGTCCTTGGTTTAACGCCAGCGTTTAAAACTAACAGAGGATTGTGATTAAAAAAACTGAATAGTCTCACTCTGGTACAAAAACTTGGCTCTGGCTAATTGTAGTAGAGAATTGTTTCATATTTCAAATGCATACAAATGTTTTTTCTTGTGCTTCACTTGTCATGCCTGTCGAGCTCTTAAAAAAGTGCTTCGTTCAGACGCACTTAACAGACGTCTTTAACGTCTCAGACGTTAAATACGTCTAGACGACTTTAATGTCTCTAGTATAAAAACGTCCAAGCTTTCTTTCGTTTTTCTATTCTTCCGATCCTTATTGATGTCTCTTTTACATTACCAGGTAAAGAGACAGAATGCAACATGGTGGCAAAGCGGAGATTTAGGATGCAAGGGACCCTCGACGGTGGTCTAAGTTGGTTTGTTGTTTTTGGATCTTTCATGTCACAGTTTGTCGTTATTGGAATACACTTCGTTTTCGGCCTTTTGTACATTGATCTGTTAAACGAGTTTGGACAAAGCAAGGCCACCACAGGTGAGAATGAGTTGCAGCGTAGTGGGGCCCCCGAGTTCAATACCCGCCCTAGGCGTTGGCTGGATTTATTCTCGGTTTTCTCGAGTGAAACTCCTCGGTCACGCTTGATAATAAGCAAACGGGTTTGCTTCTGGCTGTTGGGATTCTTAACCTTGTTATGTTCATTTTCAAATGTTTGTTTCTGTCTTTATTCGTGGGCCTCAATGGAAACTAGTGGATCAGTAGCTGTGATGCATCTGCATGATCCAATAGCGAAGACTGGAAATTGTTTCCTAGCACGTAGGACTAGCACTCCAAACGGAAAACATTTTGTTTGGAGGTAAAGCCTAGTGTTTCGCTCTGACACTCACCGTAAATTTCTTTTTTTAATAGCAGTAGCTTTTTGGTCAGTAATCGTCAGCTTCACCCCTCGGCCACGCCTGTTTGTAGCCAACAAGTCTATTTCCACCAAGTTAGAGTTCTTCTTACGTAAACCATGTTATGTTGAAATTAGCTTTGCCTGATTATAAGGTTTACAACAACAAAGCCCTATCAAACGCAGGCGAAACCCAACATTAGCGTATTGTAACTATATGAGCCGGGTTAAGCTGTCCGCTTAAAACTATTCCTGGATGAAGTAAAAGACTTCAGTGATAATTTGATCCATTATCAACGAGAGAGGACACGTAACAGTGTTAAAAAAGCCACTGTGACTTTCAAAAGTTTTTTTTTTTTAGCTTTTCTGACAGCTAAATATTTTGCCGTCAGGTTTATGGTTGTGGTTTACCCGAGGTCCCGTTTATACGGAAAAACGTTGTCCCGGGGAAACAGGGTCACTCTCCCACCCGAGCGGTTCATATGAGAAAAAGGGGTTGACCCCTTTACCCAAGCCAACAGCGCTCTCGCATGCTCTGGTTGCCTTGCCTTGACCGAGTTGATCCGACCGGGTGGGCCAAAATTAGGAGAGTGATCTCACTATCGAACTAAAAAGAGTGAATTTCTAACCTAGGTAACTTTTTGTATCTCATGTAAACGGCTCGCCAACTTTGTAGGGAAATGAAGGAGAAGTTGTCTCACCCAGGGTAGCTTGGAAACCTGAGTGACCTTTTTACCCGGGACAAGTTTTCTCCATTAAACCGGGTCTCGAGACTCCCTTAGCTTAGTGCACCGTAATTTTTAGGGAGTTATTATAACTCCAAAAATGGAGTAAAAATTTTAGGTACAGGATAACCCCTTTTTTGGGGTTATTTTAACTCCTAATTTAACTCCGAATTTGGGGTCATTTTTACTCCTGAAAAAGAGTTCTTTTTACTCCCACTCTGGAGTTAAAATTACTCCGAAATGGGGTTATTTGTACTCCTTACATGGGTTGTTTTTACTCTTTTTGGAGTTAATTTAACTCTGAAAGTGGAGTAAAAATTTTAGGTACAGGATAACTCCTTTTTTGGGGTAATTTTAACTCCTCAATATCTGGGGTCACTTTTACCCCTGAAAAAGAGTTCTTTAAACTCCTTTTTAGAGTTAAAGTAACTCCACGAAAAATAACTCCACTGTAAGGAGTTAAATTAGCCCCACTAGAGGAGTTATTATAACTCCCTGAAAATTACAGTGTGTCCTCATTATATTATCCCTTAAAATTTCCGGTTTTGCCTTTTTTCAACAGCATGGGTTGCTTCCATTGCATTCGGCTTCATTTGTTGCCTGGCACCTCTAAGTAGTTTACTGTGCAAAAAACTTGGTTGCAAAGTAGTCATGGCAGTCGGTGGAATAATGATCGGAATTGGTATTTTCGTTTCCTCTTTCGTCGATACGATTTTCCTCATGTATGTCACATATTCGTTGATATTCGGCCTGGGATCTAGCATGTGCTACATAGCTTCCGTTTTGGTGCTCAGCGAATACTTTAATAAAAAGTTAGTTGTTGCTAATGGAATCGCTCTGGCTGGAGCGGGCGTGGGAGCCATATCACTTGCGCCCGCGCTCAGCTTTCTACTGGACAATTATAACTGGCGTGATGCAGTTCGTATTCTCAGTGGAGCGTCACTTTTGCTACTGTGCTGTGCATTTATCTATTATTTGGTGCCGTCGCCGCTGGAATTTGTCGATGCTAAGGATTACCAAGAAGAAAAAAAATGTTTTGATTGCTCGTTATTTAAAAACAAGGCTTATGTTCTGTTGATTGCTGTTAATGGATTGGTGTTATTTGGATTTTATATACCATACGTTCATTTGGTAAGTTTATTCTCTAGTCAGCGGTTTTCAGTAGCTGTTAGTTAGCCCCTTACGCAAACGTTTTTAGGGCTTTATACACTGTAGAAAATCATGACGAAGCCCTTAGAACGTCTGCGTGGGAGGCTAGAGGTTGGTATGCAGCGGCTTGATTTACGAGGCATCCCGTCATAGAAATACTGAAGCTCAGCGGTTGCCTGCTCCAAGGTGACCAAAGGGGGCCAAAGGGATGACGCGTAAGTGAAAGGCATGCGAAAATATAAGCGCGTGATCTGGGAAAAGGGGGCGGTGGCGCTTTCTCAATTTCGAGGACCCAACTATTTCGGAGCCTGGAACAGGCCATGACATAGGCAGCCGATAAATATTATAGAACTTAAATCTGATTTTGGAGAAAATGCGAGCGCGAGTGAAGCAAATTGGACTTACTCCCACCACTCGCGCTACGCTTTCGCTCCACTTTTATCACGTGTCATGTTTGGAGAAAGAGTCCTTTCTACTCACTGCCATGCAGACTACGAGATTGTATAGAAGACGGACATTTCCAAGCAATCGATTGCATGAATAACATGTTTTCTAAAACGGCAAACGCTTATTAATTTTATCATTATTGCCTTTATTTTATTAAACGCGTAGTCTTAGTTTTTGAAAGTTTGATCAGACGTATATTTTTCCTGCAGAGTTCCTTTTTAGTATCAAAGAGCAAAGTACCGTAAATTGCCGTTTATAGCCCCCTCCCCCAGTTATAGGCCCATCAACCATTAAAGAATGAGACATATTTGATTATAAGCTCCCCGCCGATGTGAACCCCACTTGTATTGAAAATAATTTGATTCATTATGACGTTTTGAATCTTAATTGTGATCATCATTGCTACAGCTTGTTTTGAGGCGCTTTTTCTATTCGAGATATAAGCCCCCTGGGATATAAGCCCCTCAATTTGTAAGCCCTTTTAAAACCCCTTGCGGAGCTGTATAAGCTCAGTGCTTATAAGCCGCAGTTTACGGTAGTCCAAAAGCTTTCACTTTTTTATTTTAAGGGGTGGTTTCACTAGAAGTTTGGCAAGGGGCTGCTCTAGAATTACTTGCCCACATTTTCCTCCTTCACCTGTTTTGTCTCATACAGGTACGACACGGACAAGACATTGGTATCCACAAAGAGGACGGTGCTGTTCTAGTCGGCTTCATTGCAATGTCAGAAACAATTGGAAAGATTGTCTATGGCCGAATTGCTGATCATCCGCGTGTGAACCGAGTTTACCTGTATCAGATGTGCATGTTGGTCTGTAGCGTTCTTACCACTCTTCTTCCTATTTTGACCTCCTATAAATCCCTGTTAGCCTATTGTATATTGTTTGGCATCCACGATGGCGGCTTTGTGGTCCTTATAGCCGTATTAGTCGGAGATGTCGTCGGAAGGAAAAAGATGGCATCAGCCTATGGGATCATGTATTGTATTTCTGGTATTCCAATGATACTAGGACCACCAATAGCTGGTAAGTGTTGCTTTGTGGGTGCAGCTGACAACTAAACTTATTTCAGCCGGGGTGATCCAATCATAGTCGGACTGAGACTCTTCTCTCAAGAGGAGAAATGGGAAATGGCATAAGGCATTCTTTTACTTTTTTTTTTCTAAACGGTTTGTTTTTTACCACAGCAGGATTAGCTCTTAGTCAGTCGGTTGAGCCCTTGACTGCAGAGCAGGATTGAGGTCGCAGGTTTGATTCTCGGGGCGGGACCAATACTCAGGATCTTAAAATAACTGAGAAATGAAGGTACTCTCTTTACGCTGCAAGTGGCTCGATCTTCGGGTGGCTCGGATGACCAAAATCTGAATGGCGATCCCGTCTCCAGTTGGAGACCTAAAAATAGTGTTTTCAGTTAGTACAGTTGGTGCTAAATACATTGACACTCAAATAAAGTAACTTTTTTATCTTTTGTCTCACGATAGTCACTTAGTTGTTGATCGCAACTTGCCTATCTCTGTAAAGCGTCTTCAAAGGCCTTCTGGGTCGATGCATTTCGGTGACGTATCCGAGACGGACGGCTGGGACAACGTGATCCGAAACGTATCGGCCACGCGCAATAATGAGGTCTAGGGACTAGGCAAGATCGCAACGTTTCGACTCTGCTTTCTGCAGGTCTTTATCAGGAGGTGACGTCGTTTTCTATTAACGCCAACAGTGCTTTGGATCGAAACCCACCAACCTTGAGTGAGGTTCGTGATACACCAATCACTAGCTCAGTAAATTGACACGAATAATGACCTGCATTCTGTGGTCGAAACGTCGCGATTAACAACTAAGTGACCATCGTGAAACAAACGATAGATATGAATCCTTTATACACATGCCACGATGACTGATATCTTTCATGATATTTACTTTTGGTTTCAGTTTTTTCTTCGGTTCCGTATATAGGAAAATAAGTAAATATGAAATGTATTCTCTGGTATGTCTTCTGCTTTTCTTTCGCATCTAGAAGAGTTTTTTTTTCTTTAACGTCTTTTGTTTCATTACAATTTTACTAGCTTTTGTTGATGATGTGTAAAAAAAGGGGCCGGGTTTCACTCAGAGAAATTTAATATAGCCCTGGGGGAAGGGACGAAAAGAGACTCCTTGTGATGAGAGTGAGTGTTAAATTTCTGAACATGTGCTCTGTGAGTACGAAAAAAACTGGCGCGTCCAATCTTTTCCCTGTCTATTTTTTAACTTTATTTT